CTGCCTCCCTCTCCACAAGAGAATATTCTACTACTATCTTGCTCCCGCCCTTCCTAACTGTGACTTCGACCCCTCCCAAGCTTGCCTTCAACCCGTACTCTGTACGGGTTGAAGGCCCAGCCCTGGGGGGGGGTCGAAGTCACAGTTAGGAAGGGTGGGAGCAAGATAGTAGTAGAATATTCTCTTGTGGAGAGGGAGGCAGTTGTCTTGTGATTAGTTCGATATAATAAAGCGTGAAGCTGAGTCGACGGATTTCGAAGACGATCTGTTGATGATCAGGCTGGATCTGAAAGAGGCGGCCTTGACAGCTGCCAAGTTGGTCGTCCTGTACGACCGGGCACTTTTTTCCGAGCTTATTGCTATTGGAAATAGTGAGAGAAGAGGAGGAGCAGGGGTTAGTAGTAGTACGTCATCATCATCATGGTAGTAGGAAGGAGTGAGGCAGTGGGATAAGCTGATAGCGATGCAGAAACGTTTGGGGTTAGTTTTTGCCCAAAATTTTTCCGCAAGAACGTTCGTTTTTGTCGGGTTTAAATCGATTTGGACTGTCTTATTTTTCGGAAAATTTTTTTGTGGAAATTTTACCGCTCGAGAAAGCGGGAAATTTTATTTAGGACGTTGTTGATTGTTGTCAGGTTCAAACAGGTGAGTTTTACGCCATTTGATGAAACTCGGGTGAAACTCTAGTGTGTTTTAGTAGTATTTTTTGTGATTTTTGTTCAGGGAAATGTTTCCAAATTGGTGCACACGCCTCTGACTGATAAATGTTATATGACGTTGATGCACGGCTTGCACTTGGGTTTTGGAGGGAATCCTTATGGACCGGCTGGAACTGGTAAGGGGAAATCTTCGCTGTGCGTAGGGTATCTTTGTGTGGTAGGGAAAACGGAATCCGTGAAGGCGCTTGGAGGATGGCTGGGTAGACAGGTGTTGATGTTTAATTGTGATGAGGGAATTGATTATAAAAGCATGGGGAGAATATTTATTGGGTTACTGGAACATGAAATGATCATTGTTTTTTTTTCCGAACACATCCGAATTTGCATATGAATTCCTATGAGGAATCTCCTGAGCTCAGCAGACGAGGAGAGCAAACCACATTCTACAGAGAATTGGCTAGATGAAGGTGCAAAGTGGCGGGCCTGGGAATCGAACCAGCGGTCTTTCTTGGTCTAAGTGATGTTGGAGGAATATATGTTTGCTTTTTTTTCAGCTGAACTCAGGAGTTTTCTCACTAGTATATGAGCATCTACATGTGTTGGTGACAATATGGAAATCCTCTTTGTTTTTATACTATTCTCCCCTACGTCTCGTGTAAATTCCCACAATGTAACGAGGAAACTCCTGAGTTGAGGAAAGCACACATGGTTTATGTGGGTGTATGGGGAGTGGTAGAGCAGCAGCAGCAGCACGACTGAGCAGCTTCCCCTGGTATCAAAGGATATGAATAAATTGTTGTTGCTCGTCGATATGATGGATAAGAATCTTATTGGTGAGTTCGTGATGTTCTCGTTTTACGATACGGAAATGCTGTCGAGGGAAATTTATCGCTAATTTTAGACTGGGTGAATAATGAGGTTCCTCCTGACAACTCAATGGTACTTATAAGGAAGTCTCTATAACCCTCCCCTGCCTATTAATATGCAATATGATTATACAATACTCACCAATATATAATATCACATCTAATCGTTCATATTCATAGAAATAAATGGATTAGCATTTATATATTATGAATACTGATATATTTTCATTAGTCGATATGAGTGAAATGAATATTAATACATTTTCATTAGTCGATATGAGTGAAATGAATATTAATATATTTTGCGGCGTCATCGAGAGATGCATAATCATTATGATTATTTTTGTGATTAGTTTCCTTCAAGAGGGACAGATGTCACAATGCATGAGTATACAGTGACTAGCATCGTGGGTATGTTAGTCGGCCACCTAATGGGAGGTTCACTCCATCGAGCTTGAGTGCAGGGCCTTGGAGCCTTTCAGAATTTCAACCGCAGAGGGGAGGTCCGCATGTGCTTTCCGGTTCGGATAGTGTCGTTTTGCTGTTTACGAAGTTGCATTTTTGTGATGATCGACAGAAAATTTGCGAATGTTGGAGTATATATATATGCTGGCTTTCCTCAGCTGAGCTCACGAGTTGCCCTACTAGCTATAGAAACTTGGATAGAAGTGTATAATAATTAATTCCCAAAGCTCCTCAGAATTTTTATATTGTCAGATGGTTGACCATGTGCATATTTTCCAAGAGCTTGTGTTGTCCATCCTCCTATGGTGATTTCAGGGTGCACTTGTCGGGACCTCGATTGTGAGCTCAAATGGAAACTGATATGGGCCTGGTGCCTCGAGCGGAGGGAACGGAAGTTGCTATGGTGGCAGCGTCTTTGGCCAAGTCTATGTGATGTTCTTTAAGAGGCTTCAGCCGATCGATAGGGAGATGCATCGACTGGAGGTTGTTGAATTCAGGGCCCCTCCTCAGGAAGAGGGTGGTGCGCGATGTAATGTTTCTCAACCTGTAACATGATGTGAATGATAGTTATTATGAGTTGTGTTGATAGTTGGTTCTGGCGGCTAGTGGACACAAACCTATCCAACGTGAGAGAGTGGTTGTGGCGATCCTAATGGGGCCGTTCTAGTGTGATAATAGTGGAAGAACCGCGCAACACTCAATAGAACACATCACTATGATGAGGTGACTATGTCGTTATTATGGTATCGTAAGGTTCTCGATGTAAGTCTGTCGTTTCCAAGAGGAAGCAACTCTGGATCGTACCAGGCTCCCTGAACTATTGTGTTACGTAGTGGGTCATCGATTAACAAAGCATCAAGAGAATCGGTCAGTTGAACCGACATACTCGATTGATAAAACTGTTGTATGAGTCGACAAACTCTGCCAGCCTCAGAGTCTATGATGAGGTCCTGGTCTTCATCCGTCAACATCCTCTGAGGAGGAGCATGGGCATTGCGCGACGCACAGTTGAAGGGTACCTGAAGTACCTCATACTGGACTTCTAGGAGCAATTGTAATAACAAACACAAAGTCGAGATGATGCCAATGAAGGCAGCATTGACAGCATCCCAATGGGATGATCCCATGAACTTGTTCTTAGAGAGGAGTGTCACAT